ATCGACGGGGGCAGGACAGAAAATCCCCAGATGACAGGTGGAGCAGAAGCGCACCGACACAGCCCAGGGCAGACACTTGCATGGCCCCTCACCTGATCCCGGCTCCACCCCAGGATAACCTGGAGAATCCTGGCTTCTGCCAGCAGGATACCCTGGCGCCCCCCAGTGATCACGGGCGGAATTGCACCAGCTGGAGCATGACACGCTCCGGTACCTCCCGCTGGCTGGCCTTAGGGGGACCGCAGCGCTCAGGCTACAAACCCGCTGCAGCACAGTGGCCATTTGGGTTAGCACCCATGGAGCCTTGTGGCTGTGGGCAGAATGGCCTGGGCAGGATGGCACTGCCACTGGTCCCTGCCAGGGCAGAAGGGGGTTGGTGATCATGGATCCAACGTTCATTCTGCCTGCTGGACACACTGCAAGATCAGCAGAGGGCCTGAGGGATGTTCTAACTTCCACTCAGTTTCTAACTGCTTCTGCTCCTCTTTTTCTTCTACCCCGCGCAGGCCACTGTCCCAGAAGGAGCACAGGTTACTGCACTCACACTCAATTTCCTGACACGCTGCTGAGACGACCACAAATGGCCTCTGGGAAACCAGCTGCCCTGAAGGCCACGCTGCAGGGTGGTGCGGGCGCTGCAGCCCCATGTGGCGCCTGCTGTCCTGCATGTCAGCAGAGTCTTCCACGGTTAGGGGAGAGTCTGAGTAGGGTCTGACTGTCTCTGGTTTAGCAGAGTCACTCTACCACAGGCCTGGCATCACACGGTCACCCGTGAGATTGTGGGTCTCAGTCCCTGGGTCACTAGGACTCTATCAGTATGTCAGAGCCCCTGCCACTGAAACGCTTGCTGTGCATGGTAATCTCTCACCGGGAGATGGAGGCACACCTCCCCTGACAGCAGACAAAATGACCAAGACCCTCCTTGGTCTTCAGGGAGCAAATCTGGGAGACACAGGCCTAGCGGAGGTCAGTCATGAGCAGGGAGATGGGAAAGGCTCCGCAGCCTGGCACACGAGGGATTGCTGAGCCCAGAGCATCTGCGGAAGCTTCCCAGAGCCAAGCCCCTGAGGACAGACGAAGGGCGGGCCAGGAGGCAGGAGAGGCACCCCTGGGAAGGGAATGGCACCTACAGAGGTGTGACATGGTAAGCTCTAGGTGAAGTTTCTGCATACTTGAGGCTCCTCCTCCCAGTGTCTTTGGTGGCTTCCTCTGCATTGGCCAGGCCAGGACACTGCTGAGACGGCTCCATGAATAGCTGAGCAGCAGGGGTAACATGGTGTTGTCCGCCACTGATGGGACTCTAGTTTTCAGGAAAACTTTGGCCCAACTGTTGCCTTAGCAGCTATGTGAGCAGCCTGGCCTCACAAATGTGCAGGAGAAGGCTGGAGTTGGAATGACAAATCTCATCGAAGATATGGAGGGAAGGACCAGGGACACAGGCTGTGAGGGCCTCCTTATCTCTGAGGCCCTGCTTCTCAGAGCTGAGGCAAAGACTGAGCCTTTCCCTTAGTTACAGAGGTCACACACTAGGTCGAGGACAGTGTCTGTGCCTTCTTGGCCACTCAGAAAATGCCAAGTTTGGGTACTGGGGGTGGGTGGGAGAAAGAGACAGTACTAGAACAGCTTTGGGGCTCACACCTATAATCCTAGCACTTTGGGAGGCCAAGGCGGGAGGATTGCTTGAGCCCAGAAGTTTGAGTTTGCACTGAGCTATGATTGGGCCAATGCACTCTAGCCAGAGCAACAAAGTGAAACCCAGTCTCAGAAAGTAAAAATAAAATAAGACAGGCACTTGGAGCCCTCTTCAAGAGCCCAAGGAGATCCTGTGCCTGCCCTCAGGGAACATCACTCATGCACTTACCGCTTAGGCACCTACTGCGTGCTCGGCACTGTCTGAGACACTAGTGACACAGTGGCAACAAGAACCCAGCACCTGCTCTGATGGAGCTTATCTTCCAGAGAAAGAGAAGCGGACGATAAGAAGTAAACAAATGAGAACTGATTCAGAAGTGGAAAGTGCTGCAAGGAAATAGAGTCACTGTGGGGGTGGCGAGGGCTGTTATTATACAGGATTCTGCATGAGGGCCCCTGCCAGGATTGACATAGGTTAAGCCAGACATCATGCATGGGAAGCAGCCAGCCTGTGAGTGCTGCTGGTTACAGCCCTGCAAGTGCAAAGGTCCTGGGGCAGGAAGGAGTTTGTGTGCCCTCCTGAAGCCATTATCAGCCCATGTGACTCACAGCAAAAAGACAAGGGGCAGGGTGCCTGGAATGTGCTTCTGGAGGGAGTTAGCTGGATGTGGCCTTTCCTAGAGTCCATTTATTTGCTCCACAAAACCACCATCTCTGAGTTGGTGGTTCTCAACTTTAGCATATATCAGGATCAACTGGAAAGACTGTCACATCAGAGACTGCTGAACCCTGCCCCCAGAATTCCAGTTTTATAGGTGTGGAGTGAGACCCCAAAATGTGCTTTTCTAACAAGTTCTAAGGGGATGCTGATTACGCTGCTCTGGGGATCCCACTCTGAGAACCACTGTATTAAGGGGACAGGACACTGCTCGTGCTGGCTGAAGAGGCAAGACAGAATCTCTTTTTAAGCATTATGTGACTGTGCTTCAGGTCACACAAGGACAGAGTCAGAGCAGCCAGGGCCATGGCACTTCTGGCTGCCATTGGGATGGGACAGCTGGCACTTGCTCCTGGGTGCTCTCTGATCTCCACATGTGGTGTCCACAGGTGGAGGCAATGGCCTGAAGCTGGCCACAGCTTACCTGGGGGCCCATCTCCTCTCCCTGATCTGTCTTCTCTGGCCTCCTCAACACAAGAGGCCAGACAGAGCGGTAAGGTTAACTCATTCTGGCCTCCTGGCCCAGGGGCAGGAAACACTTCCTCTTCCCTAAGTTCCCTCTCCATCCCATGCCAGTCTAATTGTTTCCTCTCAAGGTAATAAGGTTCCTTTCACAAGAAACTTAAGCCACGTGAGCCCAGTTTCTCTCCTCAGGAGATTGGATACCCAGGATTCTCAAGCTCGGGAGCATATCAGTTTCACTGGAGAACATCTCCTGATCAGATTCAATCCTGAAACTACCAGTGCAGTAAGTTTAGAACAGAGCCACGTATCTCCCAGTGATCCAAAAAGCACTCTGGATCCAGCTTTCCTGAGAATTGGCAAGTCTGGGACATCCCTGCCACCCTTCAACCAGCTGGGTCACAGACTCCTGGTATCCATTCACCTCAGTGTGGTTTGCTCATCCCTGCAGTGGTCAAAAGAATAATGCCACCTCCAAAAGAGGTCTACATCCTAATCCCCAGAACCTACAAATAAGTTAGCTTATTCATGCAGAGGGGAATTAAGGTTGCAAATGGAATTAAGGTTGCTAATCAGCTGACCTTAAAGTAGAGATTCTCCTCAATTATCTGGTGGGGCCCTGGTGGTGTAACCATCAGGGTCCTTAAAAGTGGAAGAGGGCAGCAGGAGAGAGATGGCAGCAACACAAGGACTGCGCCTGAGGTTACTGACTTTTAAGATGGACAAAGGGGCTACAAACCACGGAATGCAGGCAGCCTCTGGAAATTGGAAAAGACAAGACGACAGATTCTCCCCTAGAGGCTCCAGAAGGAATGCAGCAATGTCAACACCTTAATTTTAGCCCAGTAAGACCCATTTTAGACTTCTGACTTCCCAAATTGTAGACGCCCAAAGTAGAGAAAGGCTAGCTCAAAGAGACTTGTGGGTGTGGCTTGTCCCATGGAGTGAATCCCAGTAAGGTTCATAGAAAGCCCACAAAGTTAAGAAAATTATATTGGCAAAAATGCCACCAGCTGTGATTGCAAGGGACAAAAACAGTGCAAAGGCCGGGCATGGTGCCTGTAATCCTAGCACTCTGGGAAGCCGAGGCAGGCGGACGACTGCTTTAGGTTAAAGAGATATGAAACCACCCTGGGCAAGAGCAAGACCCGTCTCTACTAAAAATAAAAAAGAAATTAATTGGCCAACTAATTATATAAGAAAAAAATTATCCAGGCATGGTGGCGCATGCCTGTAGTCCCAGCTACTCGGGAGGCTGAGGCAGCAGGATCGCTTGAGCCCAGGAGTTTGAGGTTGCTGTGAGCTAGGCTAGCGCCACGGCACTCACTCTAGCCTGGGCAACAAAGTGAGACTCTGTCTAAAAAAAAAAAAAAAAAAAAAGAGTGCAAAATGAAAAGAGTCCTTAGTACCCCCACTCTCATTTCTTTCCCATTAACCCATTTCCCTCTCTTTAACAACATAATGCCTTTAAAACGGAAAATTGTTTGGTCCTCGGAAATTTGCTTGACAAGTGAATAATTTCCAAAGCCTATTGAAACATCCCCGCCCACGGCAGGGAAGCCCTTTTAAAGGACATAATATTCGGTAATCTTCTTTCTCAACCAAACACTAGCAAGTGCGCTTCTGTCCCTGAGATTACTTGCAGCAATTACCCCCTTGCTGTCAAATGTTTACACTTTCAGGGTTCCAGGCCACCAACCCATAGCTGCCCTGTTTAAACTGAGGGGCTCTCATTTCCTTTACTCTTCCCAAACTTTGAGTTTGGGCCTTGAAGCTGGCTGGGGATGGCCCTGTCCAAGGCACGCCCAACCACGGAGGGGAACTCTGGTACCCAGAACCAGCGTAGTCTGCACCTGCGCTAGGACCACCATTCCCAGGGTCCTTCGCAGCCAAGTTGCTTCCTGTCCCAGAGGCCCCCTGCCATTGGATTCTGGTGGACCTGAAAGACATGTGCAACAAGAAAGCATGATGGGTAATAGATTCTGGGAGCAAGAACAGGCAGAAGCCTCTCTGTGGGAAGTATAGTACCTGAGGGTGTGCGGATCACAAATCCGGCAGCTGGAAAGAAGGCGGCTTTGGCCGGGAACGACGCCCGCAAAGACTTCTGGGAAATGTAGTCCTCTGGGGCGGGCGGTGAGGGTTGTGCGCATGACAGGAAGTGGCGCAGTCAGGCGCGTCCCGTTGGCGCGTGAGCGGTGTCCTGGCGTTCCTGCTGTGCCTGGGGCTGAAGCGTTTGAGCGTCGGCGGGTCGCTGTTTGCAAGTGGTTTTCTCGGAAAGCTGGCAGCGGCTTTTCCACCCAGGTTCTGCTTAAGGCCGAGCAGAGGCGTGGCTGTGGGTAGGGAGTCGGAGTGGAAGACTCGGCTGGGCAGGACCCGGCACCGTAGCCTCAGACCGGGCTTCTGAAGGGAGAGGCCGAAGCAGGGGAGTCCAGCCCGGGAGCTGTCCGAGCAGCCCAGCAAACCCGGCGGAAGCTGCTGTGGGGCGACCCTGACGCCCAGAGAACTGCTGGGCAGAGGTGGCGCGAGGTGGGACTCAAATGCTGGAGGAAGGAGGTGAGGAGGAGTGCTGGAGGGAGCGATTTGCTGGAGAACTGGCTGCTTGTTCCAGTTTCCAACTGATGCTGCTCTGTGACGCGGAACAGAAGCCCAGTTATCTTTCCCACAAGTATTTAGAGACAGTCCTTCATTGAGTAAAGAATTCTGGGGTCGAAAACGTTTGAGGACTTCAGGCCTGCGTGATCTCTGAGTACTCTACACCTTACCCCAATCTGCCTGATAGACCGATGACATTAGAGACTAGAGAGAAGTGGGTTCCTGGGGAGGAAAATGAGATGTATCTAGGGACTCCTCTACCACTTCTGTTCTCCTATCCTTTCTAGAAGCAGCCATGGACGCTTGGCAGCCCAGGAAAGTTTGAGGTCAGGTTCAGCCCAGTAGGGTTGTGAAGTGGTGGAGGATAGATGAATTTGCAATTAGAAGGCCAGATTCTTGTTAAAACTGTGGGGTGCCGGCCAAGTCTCTTATCCTGTGTTTCTCCTTGAAAGAAAGGACAAAATAGCGTTAACTACATTACCTCTAAGAATTGTATTTATGAATTAAAATAACATTTTTTTAAGTATCTTGAATGCAGTACAGAACAAATGTGTGGGAAGTCTTAACACATCGAGGCTTGTGCCATCCTCCCTTATATCCAAGGTCTCTGTATTTGGTCTGTCACTCTTCAAGTGCAAATTCACATCCAGCATTAGGTGTTATCCCTTAGATCAAGAGGTCTTTGTATTTGGTCTTGCACTTGAAGAATGAAGAACATAATTTCACATCCAGCATTTCATGCTGTCTTCCCCAGAGACCTGGTAAAGCAGGTCAGATGGTCATCCTCCTCCTCATCCTACAAGAGGAAAATAAGATGCAGCTGGGTTAAGTACAAATCAATATAAAAACGTCTGTACTAAGGCCCATATCCAAATCTGTTTACTTCTTTTATTCAGATGTAATTCACATACCATAATATTCACCCTTTTAAAGTGTACAGTTCAGTGGTTTTTAGTATATTCCCAAAGTTGTGCAACCATGACCACTCTTTAGTTCCAGAACATTTTTATCATCCAGAAAAGACACCTCATACCCACTTCTCCACAAGTTTCTGGCATCCACTGTTCTACTTTCTGTCTCTGTGGAGTTTGCCTAAGATATTTCATATAAATGGACTCATATGTGACCTTTTTTGTTTTTCTTTCACTTAGCATAGTGTTTTCAAGCTTCATCCATGTTATACCATGTATCAGTACTTCATTCCTCTTTCTGACTCAGTAGTATTCCATTGTATGAATATATCACTATTTTTTAATCCATTCCTCAGTGAAATTTGTGTGGACATGTTTCTTATTTCTCATGAGTATGTAACTAGGAGTGGAATTACTGTGTCATATAACTCATTTTTAAGAATTGCTGAGGGGCCGGGTGTAGTGGCTCATGCCTGTAATCTTCACGCTGAGAAATGCACTAAATGGAACAAAGAGGGCCATTTTTTTAAACTGAGAAATATTTAAAATATTTGGGTAACATGGAGTACTATTCAGCTCTAAGAAACAACAGTGATATAGCACATCTTATATTTTCCTGGTTAGAGCTGGAACCCATACTATAAGAAGTTTCCCAAGAATGAAAACAAGTGAAGTTTCCAAGAATGGAACAAAAACATATACTCACCAGCAAATTGGTATTAACTGAACAGCACCTAAGTGGACACATAGGTACTACAGTAATAGGTATTGGCAGGTGGGAGGGGGGAGGGGTAGGTATATACATACATAATGAGTGAGATGTGCACCATCTGGGGGATGGTCATGCTGGAACTCAGACTTGTGGGGAGGGAGGGGGGAAATGGGCATTTATTGAAACCTTAAAATCTGTACCCCCATAATATGCTGAAATAAAGAAAAAAAAAGAAAAAAATATTTGGGTAACTTTAAAATAATCAAGAAAGTAAAATCATTTTAAAGATATAAATGTCATGAACCAAATAACAAAGAAACACTTACATAAAGGAAGAACTGCAGGGAATACAAGAAAAAATTGAAAATATATTAGTTTTGAGAGATGTTAACTCAGTCATGAGTTAGCCCAAAATGAACAAATAAACAAAAATAAAGATATGGAAGAACTGAGAAATTTAATAAGGTTGAGCTGACAGACCTA